CTCAATTTATCGAATATTTATAATCATATTTTTTTTTGATTATAACAATAACCTTTTTAGAGCCTACAAATTCAAAGGAGGAAACTTCTAATATTAATGAGTTTAAAGCATAAGTTTACTTTAAAACAATAAGATTTAAGATTGTAATGTTTAAAAGCATAATTTGTAGATTATGGTTAGGACTAAAAGAAGATGAATTTTTTGTGGAATATAAAGGAGATTTACCATAATTCAAATTAAAACAATCAATTTATAAAATTTTAAGAAATATATATTTTTCAAGTTTAGATTTGTTGTGGTTGGTTAAGATTTTGTCTAAGATGTATATGATGAATATTTTTTAAATTGAGATACAAAAAGTCTTAAATTTGTTGGAATAACATAGATTTTCTAGCTGAACAAAAGAAGCCATGTCAGGAAGGTTTTTAACCCTTTAAGAAAGATCTAATAAAATCATAATCTAATTTCTGAATTAAGAAGATATTGATAGACCTTTATTGTGCTTTAAATTGGTTAATGCTAGAACTAATATTGAACAGGATCTTCAAATTATTATAATTCTAATTATAATATTATCTTTTCAATTAAACCCCAAACTAAAACTAATCATATTATTATTATTAATTTATACTTTATATTAAAAATAATCTAGGATGGAAAGTAAACAATTAATCGTCTCATTGAAACATAAAGCTGTTTATTTAAAATTAGGTAAATAGAATACGTTCTTTCAAATATTGTATTTTATTGATTTACTTCAACAGTTGGATTAATTTCAATTAATTTATTGCTTCTAAGTATTGAATATTCATAATAAAAAAAAATAATTTATTATTTATAGAAGATATAATTCCTTTTTTATTTATTAAAATCCCTAGCATACTTATTTTCCATCCACTTAACAATCTATCTCTTCTGAGAATTCAAAAAAAGAATGACTTAAAAAATATTTTTGTGTAATTGTTTTCATGTAATTTTATCTTTCTTAACTTTTCAAACTAAAATGATATTTGGATATTATCATAGTTATATTTTTAAGAAGGAAATTTTTAAAATTAAAGTTTTTATGACAATTGGATCATATTTTATTACTCATTATAATTATTTTTCAAAAGTAGGTCTCATGATGTACTAGAACAGGATGTTTAAAATTATTATTAAATTTAGCTTGGGTTTTCTGTTGTTGAAGCAATAAGTTGAAAAATGTCTCCTGCCAATCACAAAGGTAGAGCTGCCTTTAATAAAACCTGAATGAAAGGCTAATTAGGTATGACTCTGTTTTTCATGTGAAAAGAAGTCATTCTAAAAATTACTATTTCAGCTCAATATATACCAAATTTTATCATTCAAAGCTCCATGCTGTCTACCACCCTCCGTTTTGCAGATGGAAAATCAGGACTAAGGGAATATTATTTTTAGAGAGGCATGGATCCTTTATGACCAATACCGAAATTAATATTTGTAAATTTATTTATTTATATCTGATAGAAGATTAATAATTGAATTAAAATTTTTTTCATCACAAAAGAAATAAACTGGATGACAAACCATTTAATTTTCTAGTATCAATTACATATTTTTTTCAGAAAATATAGATTAAAATCTTTAAAGTGGTTTTTTGTTATTTTCAACAAATAATACTTCTTTAGTAGATTATTATTATTATCTACTTGTCACAAATTCTAATTATAGAGTTTTGTGGATTATGATATTCCTTTCTTTATTTTTAAATAGTCTTTTTTATTCTTACTCAAATTCGAATAATGAAGTCAAAATTCTAACATAGTAAGATAATATATTTATGGGATTTTATAAAATAAAGGCAATTGTAAAAAATACTTATCAAAGTCCACCCATTAAGCTTAAGATAATTAAATTTTAGTGTATTGTTTATAATATTATTATTCAATTTAATCTAATTTTATTAAATTGGTTATTTAGACACTTTCAGTTAAATCAATTATTTTTGTATGTCATTTAAATCTTAAGGTATTTTGAACTTAATAATTTTCATTAATAAGACCTAAATCTGTAAATACTGTTATTGGCTACATATAAAATGTTATTTCTTTAAAAATCTTACTAGATATTTTAGTGAAAATATCTTCTGTTTTTGATAAAAATGGATAATCTTCATTTTTCACATCTATTACATATGATGACATTTAAAATGAAAAATAGTTTTATTCTAATTATTATTTAATTTCATCTATTGATTTACATTCTTTTGATTTATTATTATAATTGTTGTAAATTATAATTAATAATAAAATAGCACTATAAACTTAAGAATAAAAAGTGCCTTTTAAATTTAATTCTTTAATTCTATTCCAATCAATACAATTGTTAGTTTATAAATCTAAATGAGAATAATATTTTTCTAATTCATCATATCTAATAAGTTTTGGAGTGGAAGATGTTAAAGGAATTTCTTTTTAATGTCAATATATGAATTTTGTCATTATCAGTCCTAATTGGATTAAATTCATAAATTCTAGAGATTTAAGTTTAAATTTTACCTTCTACAACATAGACTGATTCATCTATATAAGTATTAAAAGAGAAGTTTTAAATAGAAAAAGTTAAGGTAAAATTTTAATCATTCAATGTGAATTATTAAGGTGATATACGATAAATCTATGAAGTTAAATTTTTTCTTAGCTTCAAATCATATAGATTTATAATAAGCATTTATATAAAGAAAGAAATCAATCACAAAGTTAAACATGCACCAAATACAGTTTTTTATCCTTATTCCCATTTGTTGATAGTCAAACAGGCTTTGAAAATATAACCACTATTTTTAATATTCTCAGTGCCATTTTAAAATAGTCATTCTTCATATTTATTATACTTCAAATATTTATAT